CTCGCTGGGTTCCCTCGCTGGTGGTGGCACGCCGTTTCCTTGGGTGAGCAGTTGGAATGGTTCCTTTCTCCAGCACCCAGGAGAATGGTTCCTTTCTCCAGCACCCAGGAGGGTGTTTTGAGTGAGGCATCTGGGCGTTTTTGCCCGCAGCCAAGCACTGATAACTCCCAGCATCCTCCCTGCCCCTTCCCTTCAACAACTGCCAGTTTCCTCCTTTCTGTAGCTCTAACTTCATCCATTCCTTCCTTCTTCTTCCTTCCCCTCCCAACACGTCCATCCCAGGCCAGGCAGAACTGTCACGGTGTAGGTCTAGGGTCCAGATCCACCAGCTGATCTCTACCAATGTAGATGCACCAGCCTGTCCTTACCCTACTTGGCTGAATTTTGAGATGATGTTCATGGAAATGACTTGATTTATGACAACGGTATCAGTTGCCACCTAAGGTGGGTGGCCCAGGGGCCAGAGCCGTGGCACGGGTGGGGCGAGCACGCGATTCTCTTGCGTAGAGGTGGATCGCTTCTAAAAACGAGAAGGGAAATTGTGGCCCCCAACGAGTGCCTGGCTGAGCTCTGCGTCCCTCTTTCCACCGCCGTTACGTTTGGGTTTGCAGTTCCCTGGAGCCTTCCCCCAAAAGGCTCTTGCCCAAGTTTCCAAGCCTCTTCTCCCTCCGCTCCGTCTCTCCCTGTGAATGGAGCGCTGGCCATGCTCACCCCGCTCTCTCCTCTCTCCCTCTCGCAGCGGATGGATCGCGGCGCTGTCGGAGCTGCACGAGAACCTGGCCGTGGCCGTTATCATGATGGTGGTGGCCGCGTTCTTCACGCTCTGCGCCGTTCTCTCGCTCTTGCTCCTCAAGCAGGTGAGTGGCTCGGGGGCAAGGCGAGGGCTCGGCTGGGTGGCGGATCTGCAGGTCAGGCTGCTCCCAGGCTGTCTTGGGATTGCCACCTCCCTCTCATCTCCCTGGGGATTAGCTTGCTTTTGAAGCTGTAATCAGGGCGCTGCCAGGTCAAGATTTTTAATGAAAGTGGTTTTGGTGCTGTCACTTGTATTAAATTGTCTGGAGAAGATGGCCAGCAAGGTCCCAGACGTCACCTTCCTCAGAGACACCAAATTTCTTGCACCTCCCATTAGCTCGAGTCTGTCCGGAGCTGCTTGAGCAGTTGTTTGGTTGGGGTATCCGGGGCTACCGCAATCCTGTGGGATTTTTCAAAGCCTGGTGGGATCCAAACCGGTGCCTTCCCACTGGCTCCCAAACACAAGCCCTCCCTCCTTCTGATCAACCGCACGAAGACTGCAGTTAACAGCAGAAACGTGGCTTTGGGGCAGGCAAGGACAGGCAGGACTGGCTCTGTTTCCATCTCTTCCTCCTCCTTTTCTCCTCAGTTACATCCTGAAGGAAATACCCACTGGTTGTAGTTGCCGGGGCACCTTCAGCTCCTGCCCTGCAAGCATCCATCAGCGCAGGGGTTAAGCATCCATTCCATCCCCGTGTGGCAAGCCCATCCCTGTGCTGACTGATTGATTTATTTTTCCCCCTCTCTTTCTGTTTCCCAGGTGCATTCCCTGTATCGGCGCACGGGAGCCAGTTTCCAAAGGGCCCAGGAAGAGTTTTCCCAAGGCATCCTCACCAACAGGAGCTTCCAGAACGCAGCTGCTGGGGCAGCCTCCTCAGCCGCACAGAGTGCTTT